GGATATGTGTAATCAACCACTCCTAGAACCGATCAAGCAGAGCCTGAACGTTCGCTAGGTATTGTTCCATGCGTTCCTCTTTGGCTTCGAAGATCCCGTAGACCTGATTCACCACCAGCTGGGAGTCGCATTTTATTTCTACGACCTCGCAATCTAGTCCTCGGGCCAATTTGAGTCCTGCAATCAAACCTTCATACTCCGCTTCATTGTTAGTCAGAGGTAACAATCCTAGACTGAAATTGGCCGCAAAGTGGGAAATACTTGTGACTTAATTGTAGTCCTAGGTTTATATTTTATGTCAAATTCACTCATTTCGACGGCCCACTTGGACAGCCTACTCGAAAGTTCGGGGTTATGAAGGATGTTCCGGAGGGGAAAGGTGGTCACCACCGGTATCGGGTGACATTAGAAATAAGGCCTTAGCTTTCGAGCGGCGACTACGAGGGCTAAGGCCAACTTCTCCAAATGTGGGTAGCGAGTTTGTGCTCCCATTAAAATCTTACTGACGTAATAAACCGGAGATTGCGTACCTTCTTCCTTACGGACTAAAACCACATTTACCGCTACCTCCGAAACTACTAAGTTGATTAACAATTTTTTGCCTTCCTCCGGTTTTGATAATAACGGAGGACTTGGTTAATATCTTTTCAAATCATTTATAGCCTGCTAAGATTCCGGGGTCCATTCGAAGTTGTTCTTCTTCTGAGTAATGAAAAGAAATGATGGCATTTCTCTGAAGACCGGGAAATGAACCTGCTCAAAGCGGTCAATCTCCCTGTGAGCCTTTGAACTTCTTTTACGCTTGATAGCTGGTCTGGGATGTCTTAGATGGATTTTATTTTGTCGGGGTTAACCTCAATTCCCCTTTGTGATACCAGGAATCCAGGAACTTACCCGGAACTGACCTCGAACACAAACTTCTCAGGGTTAAGCTTCATGTTATGTTTCCTTAGGATGTCAAAAGTCTCTTGCAAGTGCTTAAGATGATCACCTGCATTCAAATACTTCACAAGCATATCGTTTATATAGACTTTCATGGTTTTCCCTAATTGCTTTTAAAATATTCTATTACGAGCCGTTGATAATTGGCTCCGGCGTTCTTTTGCCCGAAGGGCATGACATTATAGCAATAGTGTCGAAGTTCGTCATGAACGAAGTTTTTTCCTGATCCTCCTGGTTCATCTTAATTTGGTTGTACTCGGAGTAAGCATCGAAAAAACTCATTAACTCATGCCCGACCGTAGCATCAATCATTTGATCGATGTTTGTCAATGGGAACAAGTCCTTTGGGCACATCTTATTCAAGTCCTTATAGTCTACGCACATGCGAAATTTATTCTTCTTCTTAGGAACTACTACTACGTTAGCTAGACAGCCCGGATATTTTACCTCTCGAATTAAACTGATACCGAGTAAGCGATTTACCTCTTCTTTGACGATTATATTTCTGGCCTCGGTAATTTGACATTTTTTCTGTCTTACCGGAGGAATGTTGGGATCCAGGCTTAGCTTGTGTACGGCCACTTTCGTCGAGATACCTATCATATCCGCATGCAACCATGCAAAACCATCGGTATTGAATTTAAGAAATTCAATAAACCAAGACCTGAGCTCGGGGTGCAGTCCCGTCCCCAAGTGGAATTTCCTCTCCAAGAACTTTTCGAACAATGCAACTTGCTCAAGATCTTCCACTGTGGACTTTGTTGCGTCCGTCTCTTCTGGTACTTGGATATACCTTGGCACCTCATAAAATTTCGACACCTCCTCCCCCTTGTTGACTTTGCCCGATTCGGGTGCAGGCGTCGGTTCCTATAATTGCTATGTCGCATGTTCTTTCCCTTTGCTACTGGAGATCGAAATTGCGTCCATCTCCCTTGCCGCCAGTTGGTCACCCCTTATTTGTTTAACTTCATCGGGTGTTGGGAATTTGAGTAATTGGTGATATGTTGATGGCACAACTTTCATCTCGTGCAACCATGGTCTTCCCATGATAATGTTGTAGCCTATGTCACCATCCACCACTTCGAAAAGGGTCGTCTTCATCACCCCTTCGGCATTCGTGGGCAGCGGGATCTCTTATCGGGTTATCACGCTTGCTAGGTTGAACCCGGCGAGGAATTTTATGGCCGGAATGATACTCCCGGTAAGTTTAGCTTGCTCCAATACCCTCTACTGTATAATATTGGCCGAACTCCCTGGATCCACCAAAACGCCTTTGATTTTAAAATCTAAAACATTTAAAGAAATTACCAATGCATGATTGTGTGGTAGCAACAATCCATATGCGTCTTCCTCTGCGAAGGTGATGTCGTCTTCAGCGACTTTCCGGAGTCTCTTGATGTCGGTTACTGATATCTTTGTCTTTTTTGTTGCTGAGAAGCTAGCCTCGTTAATCTCGTACCCCCCCCCCCCCCCCCCCAAAAAAAATCATGCTGATCATGAGGCACGGGGATCTTCTCATGATTTTGAGGGTTCCGCGTTGTCACGACTCCGACCGTAATTGTTCTTGGCACATTCACTCAAGAATTCCTTGATATGGCCATTTTATAGTAGTGTCGCCACCTCTTCACGCAGATGCTGGCAGTCCCCAGTCCGGTGACCGTTCGTCTCGTGGTATTTGCACCACAAATTAGGATCCCTCTGGCTGAAATCGGACATCATTAGCTTCGGAAATCGTGCTTCTTTAATGTTCCTCGTAGCCGACACCAACTCTACTACACTGATGTTAAAATTGTATTCTGAAAGTCTGGGGTAGGAAGGATCTCGAGAACCTCATGTTTCCTTGTCCTATAACGATCTGTTGTTTCGGTCGCGATCAGTTCTTCTATCAGTAACGAACCTGTCTGCCAACCGGAAACCTCTACCGCGTCCTTCGGCTCGTTCATAGGGCAAAAACTGGCTCATCAAAGACCGTCGATCTGTGTCGAAATTGTCTATTGATTTTTCTTTGTTCTTTTCCTGAACCGATGTCGGAAAATCTAGTTAATCATCCGGTACAACCGGTAGCAGCATTCTTTCCTTCTGGAACCGAGTTACGAATTCCTGCAACAACTCTAACTCTCCTTGCGCAATTCTGAATATATTGGCCTTTCGGGCTTGTATCTTTCTGGCCCCGGCATGGGCCTTAATCAAAGAATCTATGAGCATCTCAAAGGAATCTATGGAATGCTCGGGAAAAAGCGAATACTACGTCAAAGCTTCCTTCGTGAGAGTCAAAAGTCTCTCCGAATATTTTCAGCAACATTGATTCAATCTCGTGGGGATCTGAAGTCCCATCGCACGTCCACATTTTGAACCGCTTCGGGATCAATTATGGTGCTGACCTTGATTTGTACGGCATTTGAGTATACTTTTTTGAGTCCGGCCCTTTCAGCACCGGTGGCGCACCCGGGATTTGGTCCATGCGGGCGTTCACTTCCCTCATAAACCGTATGAGTTCGTTTTTGAAGGGATCGCTCTCGTTGTTATGATCGGATTCGCTCCCCCCGGCCCCATCGAAACCGACCTTGCCACTCGAGGTGTTGTTGTCGACCCTCTACGTTGTTTGATTTGCGGGAGCACCAGGAGGAACCGTACCTTGCCCATTCGCGTTATTGGAAGCACCCGATAACGCCTGCTTCAGTTCTGTCATCACCTTATCCTGCCGTGTGAGATGACCTAGAATGGCCTCTTGTTGCTCCTGTAAGACCCTTACCGCTTCGACGACGTGCTCCTCTTCAGCATCATCAAGAGTCGCTACTCGAACATGTCGCGGATGTCGCCTTCCATGGACCGGTGTGGCCTCGTTCCCCTCGCTACGGGTATCGCTGATTTAATATCAATTATGAGGGCTATTGAAGAATGTGTAATGGCGAGCATGAATGACATATTCTTTTGTAACGGGCAGTGTACTAAATGCTATAGAAAATTCTTCATTAAATGCTACCAGGTGGCAGACATTTATTTCATCTTTATGAGTATCATTCTCTCCGGTAACAGACGAGATCGTTGCCATCGATTTCAGCTATCCTCTATCTTCGACTTCACGTGTCACTTTCTCATGCAATCATTTAATATAACATATTTTACCCCATACAATACTATTTGAAGCTATTGATAGCGGTCCTCTATAGAATTAGGAATAGCTATAATTTAATCATGTTGGTTAAGTCTAACTTTAGAATCAATTACCTGTTTAGCTTATTCGTCAAATCTTTTAGCAAGTCTAACGAAAAGTGCTGCTCTGACCGGACTACTTAATATAGTGCAATAAACAAATTTATAGTCGTCTCACCCCTAAATTTCGTCTTACTCCTACCTAAGTTTTATCACATGCCGAGATATTTGACGTTGCTTTAGTAATTATTTTGTTTTCAAAAAGAAAAGTGAACGCTCAAGAATGCAAATTTATACACTGAATATTCAACATTATTATATCAAACTAGCTTTCCAACCATTTCTTCTTTCATTTTATTATTTCTTATATAACTCAAAGTTGTATTCAATCATATGAGGTAAAATAGATGAAGAGATCCACAAAGACAATTTTAAGCTGATCTCTATCAAGACAAATTCGTTGATCAGAGTGAAACTTCACAGAACTTGTAATAAACAGCTTCCTTCATAGGAAACGTTTTAAGTTGTTTACTAGGTAATAATACTCAGAAATTTGGAGCAACAACAATAAACCCAGTGGAGTACCAATAGTAGGGTCTGGACTCTGGAGAGGGTAGTGTGTACGCAAACCTTACCCCTACCCTTGGGAGGTAAAGAGGCTGTTTACGATAGACCCACAGCTCAAACTCAGAAATTTGGAGCACATGATCAAATCTTGAACTGAAGACTGACTAAAACTCAAGGCTCCAAAATATCACTTAAAGAAAAAGGGAAATCATTGACCAACCATTTTGAGAGAAGTCCCAAGAACTACTAGAGTGGATTGACAGGATTTTAAATTCAGTAAGTTTTATGCTGTAACTTAGGTATATTCCTTAATTGAAATTCCAAAGGGTACCAAAATATTACCAGAAAAGTCCAAACCTTCATTAACCACCAAAAAAATTCATCTCATATTTGTACACTTCATTCAACATACTCCTAACCTTCTCCACAGAGGGACAAAGGGGCTCAAGGATTCTGTATAGGGTGTGGTTTGGAGTATGGAAAGGAAAGGTAGAGAATTGCCAAAAGACTAATATATACAAGTGGAAGAGCACTAGAATTGCATCCTCAAACGTGCGTGTTACATGAAGCTTCTAAACTGATCGTCAAGCAGTTTGAATTTCACAAAAGACGCGCACCGGTGTTGCCCAATGATGTGAGAAAACCTCTTTAACTAATCTTCAAGCTGTTGGAGTTTCCCTGCACACAACAGAAAATAAAAGCATCAGGTTCCATTTTGTTTGAAATTTTGCACAGCTGCACACAACTAACATACTGAAAAGATCAGCTTCTATTTTGTACTTTGGAACTCAATGCACATATCAGTTCATTTCGCGAATTGGATACAGAAAGAAATTCCCAGCAATACAAGTAAAAATAGGATTCTGTATCCCGTGAACAATGTATCTATCAGAAAGTGAGTTTCATCCAGCAATTGAAACCAGTATCCCATGAAACCAGTGGTCCCAGAATCACTATACAAGGAGTCATTTCTCACTCTTCTGCACAAATACTAAACACTATCAAACACCACCTTTTTTTTAAGATCAACAAATTCTTCCAAGGAGTGGACTCAGAATCGATGTTATAATGAATAGATAAACAGATTCTCTTTATGTGCCAGAAAAGATGCATAATGCAAGCAAATAATGAACTTAAACACCTGCAAGCTGTTTGTAAAACCATCTCACGGAAAAAGAAATAAAAAGGAGAAAAAGAAGAGAGAAGAGATAAGGTGGCCAGTGTAGAGTGTGCTCATACATTTTTGTAACTGGTTATGTAAGACACAACCACAGTTATGTCGTCCAACTTCCCACCATAGTAACGGAAGCCAGCTTCTTGAGCTGCAGCAGAGAAAGGAGTTTGCCTGTTTTTGTCCAGTGCCCTTTGTCGAGCCAATGCGGCTATCTTCTGAGCTGTAACCTGAGGTGCTAAGCCAGCTCTCGTGGCATGCACCACGATTGCAGTTATATCGCTGTTATACAAATTGTCAAACAACCCATCGGTGCCAGCTATGATGACATCTCCTGGAGCAACTGGTATTTTATACACCTGCACCCGAGGTCAGCCATTCAGATTAACCAAGAATTAGATTACAGAACTATTGGATGGGAGAAACCTATAGTAGACCGGTTGAAAGAAAAATTAGAGTGACGATCGACTCATCATTTTTACAGTTGACACAACATTCAACTTGAGGTATAAACGCACAACAGTACAGGTGGGAGGCCTGCAGAGGGTGTTGGACGCCACAAAATCTTAGATTAATCAAATTTAGCAAGAATAATATTACTCAGACCATTCAAAAGTCAAGTCATCTAATGAGATGTGCCAAGAGTCTAAACAAGGGAGAGAGTGACAGCACCAAGGTAAGTTGATTAAAAAAGAACGAAAATGTTCCAAAGCCTCTCGAGATTCAGCTCAATAAGGAAAATGAATAACCGGATGGATTCAAATCAAAAACAGGTTATTCTATCATCATTTGATCAGTATTTATCATTCATTATCCAATCCCAGCTCCCGTTTATACTTTTGCTTATTAATGAAAAGATCTCTTTACTTGTACCATCTTAAAAACTCGCATTTCTTGAAAAGGTTATTCGATTGATGGGATTTGGTAAGAGCTCAAGATTCTCTGGTCAGGCTCAGGCTGACAGCGTATAATGGCAAAAGCAGCTTAACAAAGGCTTTCCAATTTCAATCCAACTGAGCTTTAACTTATTTATTCAGAAACTTCAGAAAAACAGAACCTCTACTGCGTGTTATATAAGATGACAAGAAGACCACTTGTAAACATACCTCCCCAGAGCTTGGTAAGTCACCAGCACTACCACACTCTAGCTGAAATGTAAAATTGAAATCATGCTGCTGCACGGGTGATCTGAAAACAGTACATCCATCTCTAACGACCAGGAATCCGCTATCTCCTAAATTAATGGCGTGGAGACCCTGAGAAGAGAGGAAAAAGGATAAATTTAACATGAGTAGAGATATAAGTTTTAATTTCAGTTTCCCGTTTTAGTCACAAAACAATTATTTCTGCGCACATAGTCATATACAATGGCCAAAGAGGTCAGAAAGTCTTTTGTCTGGAAAAAAATTCATTATACTCGCAGTCTCAGCGTACGAGTAACCAATTAAAAAAAGGTTTACTCCCATACCTCAACTCCATCAAGCTACGCCTGTGTCCCAAAATGACGCTTTTACTTTCATCTTCGGGCTGGCAGAAAGTGTTTTCCTTAAAAGGAAGGTTTCAATGCTTGTTTTATAACTTAAAAAGTTATGGGGGACCCATTAACACTTTCCTCAATACAACTTTTTCTTCTTCCTGTTTTTTAGAAACCCAAACGCATTGTATGGATCCACATATTCCTCTAACGAATAATAACTAACTCCACTCTCTAAGTATTCTCTTAATAATCTTGCCGTGCCGTGCTGTTCTGAAGCACAATTATTAAATACTAAATTAGGACACAGGAACTTTTTCACTCTCCTAAAGTTCAAATAGTGCGCAGAATGGAAGATACAAATTTACATATATACCTCATCTGTAAGGGCAATAATACAGGCAGTTGAGGACCCTTTGGCTTTTGTGTGTGTATAAGCTTTCTCCAGGACCCTGGCTGGATCTACTGAACCTTTTGGTTCCTCGCGAATTGCACTTACTGCATTTGACATGAGTTCTCGAGAGTATTGCCCAGCATCAACACCAACATCAGCCCATCCACCAACACCATCAGCTACGCCAATTGCTTGTTCATCGATGCAAATAAAATGAGCGTCCTCGCCACCTTTTTCTTCTTTATCAGGATGAGGCAGGTAACATGATCCTGAATTAAGCTTCAGGCTTCGATCGATATGGATATTTCTGAAATGCGTCAAAAGAAAGATATGATTTAGGAAAAAAGAACATGAGGGTTTAATTTTGAAGTTAGAATGACACTGAATTGAGTAGTCTTACGTAGTAGCTTACATCTAGTTAATTACTAAGTAGATATTCTTAGAACTCCAAAGTAAGCAGCACCTCAAATTTAGGGACCCTCTCATTTAGTGATAGGTCTGTGGTGCTGCTTAAGAATTAGTTGTATGCAGCAACACATTAAAGACACCTATTCATTCACCAATGGAAGTGGTAGAGATAGAAACTAGCCTAAGGAAAGGCAACGAGATTTGCAGGTTTCGAGCTAAGTGATTTCCTACATTTGAGGGATAGTATATTGTTTCTAGTTTCTTTGTAGGTGCACCCATGAGGTCTCTTTTTTGTAAAGAAAATTGGATGTTCTTTTGCAGAGAACCATATTTGATTGTAGATCCTCTACATTTTGGTACTGCTTGTATACATGAGTTTATTCACACATTGATGAAATTATAAACCTTAAAAAGACAAAAAGAAGGGGAAGCAAGGAACTTGTCAGGCATAGCTTCCAACTACAATCAGGGCGGGAGTAGTAGCCCGGCTACTGGGTTGGTGTTTGGGTGAACCCAGTAGCTTTTGCTCATGCAGATGTATTTGTGTTAAAAAAATCATTTAATATATACAAATATTAAATTTAGAACCCACTTACTAATACTTATATTCGTTGTTCTAAAATCCAGAACAACTCTGGCCCTGCCGCTTGTTCCCTAATCTCTAGTAATTATGAACCCAAAGGGATGCATAAATTAGCTTATCTATTGGACTTAATTTAAACATGTTAAATTCAAAGAACACCTCCATTTTCAATTTCAGTGAGTGAGAACCAGATACTACTATCGAAAATGACTTTGCTATCAAGTTTTAAACCCATAAGGCGGTCATCATAAGCGTAGTTCCGTATCTCAGCTCAACAATGTGCAATCTTAGAAATCATAATGAAGCAAGTGAATGTGAAACAAGAAGAGGCGGTAGTTATAACTTTCTTCAGATCCAGCAAATTTTCTAGAAGTTGATTAGCTGTTTTTCTTTTAGATGGAGCATGTTATTTGCTGGAATCTTTCCAGCAGGAAACTTCAAACCATGTGCACCCCAGACTTTCCTATTGATTGGACATTGATCTAGTGGTTGTGTGGGTTAGACGCACATCATGGATCCGAATCCTACAGAAAAAAAGCCTGATATTTAAGTGGAGAAGGCTAGAGAGGCAGCCTATTATCAGCAGAGTTTCGAACCGTGCACCACCACCCTCGGGGATTTCTCATTTATGACAACAACAACTACGCCTCAGACTCGGTTACAAAAAGAAAGAAGAAAGTCATCTTAAATAAATAGCAGCAAAGTCGAGGAACATACTGTTCTGGAGAATTTGCTGAACTTGCAGGGTGTACCTCACGCAGAGAGTTATCAAAGGACACATCAGGAGCAGCGCCAGCAGAGATAGATGCAGCTGAAGAACTATGAAAACCCTTCAATCCCAATCCTTCATAAACATTTGAATTGCCCTTGCTCTTTACAACATTGTATGTGAAATATCCATAGACAACAAAGTTGCTGGGCTGATTGTTATTCCTCAAACTCATGCTGGCTTTTCGAAAATTGTCGAAATTTCTATTGCTATACAAAGTAATCGGACTATTTACTGAAAAGCAAGGGTTGAGATGCCTTGAAGTCATTTTACTCGAGGAACAGCCAACAGAAGTTCTTGAACCACAAATGGCCATACGAGCTTTATGAGAGTCAGTCTCTAAAGAAACTTGAGTAGGCTCAGATAATAGGCGATCAATGTGATAGCCACAGACCTGAAATGCAGGCCCTGAGACAGATGGTATAGACAATGCACGAGGAATAGCACCGACCACTGAAAAATTCTTTCTCTGATTAACTATATTCAAATTTGCCTGTGCAGCTGCTAAAGTTCCAGGCCGTACAATCACATGCAGGTCAGACAATCTTGCAGATGGTACAGAACAGAAGAACTTCCCGAACAACAATCTCTCTTCTGCAACCAAAATGTTCACCAAATCTTGGAGCCTGCTTTCTTGCCCAGAAATGGATTTCTGGACTCCCTGCCTCAATGCACCACCTAGTCTAAAAAGATAATTACTCGGCATATTAGCTTATCAACCACAGAAAACTTGCTCGCACCCGTTTATAGGAGAAAACACAACCAGTACCACAGGACACAGGAGATATCATTAGCCCCGGTACATCTATTAACAAGCATGAATTTGGTCTTCGCTTGACAACTCAGACACCTGCTGAGGTCTGAGCAGGGAAACCAATATTAGAAGGAACAAAATCATGAAAAACATAGTAGAGGATATAAAACACAGTAAAATCCTCTATATTTCATCTCATACAATTGCTGCTTACTATACCAAATAAAAACTCAAGAACTCCCTACTAAACACAAATATTTACGGCTTGTTTTAGATAACAAGTTTCAAAAGTCTTTCTTTAAAGCCAGTCAAACAACATCACATAAATTGGGACGGAGGAGCAGTACATTATTTGCACCAAAAAGAAAAACTAGTAGCATCACATTATTAAGTCAAAAGAAGGCTAGAAACCAGAAAAGGGGAAAAGTACAATAAATCCCTAAGCTAGCCCTCAAATGAACTGCCATCTCCTATAAAAAGCTTATTCAACGCCAATCTAAAACCTTTACTAAAGCCAGCCAAACAGAATAACACATCCTTAAGCAAATCAAACACGTCATACTACTATCCTTCATAGCCACTAACATCAAAAACCACATATTTACAACAACAAAAAATCAAAGCATATAATATGAAACAACAGATAAAAGCTCCAAAAAGACACCCAAAAAACAAAATTTAAACAAGAAGGAGTTTCAAAATCGCACCTTTACAGATAACAAAAGCCAAAGAGAGACAAGTTAGCCAAAATCACAATAACTCAGAATTCAGCCTTCTCTCTCTCTCTCTCTAAATCACAGTTCTCTAAACTGTTGGGTTAGCTCAAACGTTAAAGTCCAGAAACTTCCTGTGCTCTGAAGAAACTTTTAGGCTTCGGTTGGATTTTCCCACCAACAGATCAAACCCTATTGTTATCACCACAGAAAAGTTCTCACTTTCCAATCCAATTTGAGAATCCTTTTACTTGTCATTAATGGTGACCATTAAAATACGAATTAAATGGCAAGAAAAAAGAAGATGTGTTGTGACGAATTTAGTGCTCGCACATTCCCCTAATGTGCCACTTGATGCCCAGACAATTTTTATACGTGTAAGGGTGTTTTGGTCATTTCGTACATAATAAGTACAAAATTGGAGATCTTACTTTAGTATTTTTTTCATTACTTATTATTCTGTAGATGAAGTTTGACGGTTGAATGGATAATGGAGCCGACTTAAGGCGTGTTTGGTCCCATTATATCGGACTACTGTGTGTATCATGCCAACTAATGCCTAGTCGCTTGGTACAATTTCTTTTTCGAGTGATATATCATACGTATTAAATTCTTTTACAATTTTCACTTGAGCTAATGTCAAAATATTCTGTTGAAGACGACATAATAGTGAAGGGAGATCATAAATTGATCTCTAAATGGAGAAACGTGATCTTAGATAGTTAGAGCCGGTTTGGATATAAGAATTTTTTCATTTCTTTCCGAACAAGTTTTCCTTTTTTTTTTTTTTTAATCAGTATTTGGCCATAAAATTTTTTATTTTCACTTCAAGATGAATTTTGAAATTTTTCGAAAAATTAAAAAATTCCAAAAAATTGTTTTTTAAAATTTTCACCCAGATCACTCACAAAAAATCAAAAACAACCCAAAATTATATTTATATCCAAACACAACTCTAATTTTCAAATACCAATTTCATTTTTAAAAAAATTCACTTTTTTTGGAATTTTACAATTTTTATGTCCAAACGCACACTTAGTGTCTTAGTGATATGAATTTAAATGGAGAAAATGATTAACGAAGGTTCATATAGTCGATTTCTTCCTTAGAATTGATATGTAATTATTATTTTCGTATGTATCACTTATTATTATTATTATTATTATTTTGAATTACTCTACCATAAATTGTTTTTTAAATTTATTATTTTATGTTTGATCCAAACCAATTTTATGTGTTTGGTAGTCCTAATTTTCAAGTTTGAGCAATTACTTATTAGGCCAAACAATAATGTTATCATGTAATCCCACGTCTAATCAAGAGAAATAACAAGTGTATGTACCTAATTCTGAATTTTGCTCCCATAGATGGGTTTATTATAGTTGGTAGTCCAAAACCAAATTTTATGCTTGGTAGTCCTAACTTTGAGTTTAAGTAACTATTGATTAAGTCAAAGGGATTAACTGGATTATTGGTAAGGGGGAAAACATAAACCTTTGGAATAACCGTTGGATAAACCAAGGAAACAATCTAAGGAACAGTATACAGGGACCTCTCCAAAATGGGGAAGAAGACATGAAAGTAAGCTCAATCATCCAGCATGGCTCCTTTAACCTATCAACTCTATCCTTCGAGATTCCTGAAGACATAATCCAAAAAATCCATAGCACTTATATACAACAATCCAAACCTGGTAGAGATAAAATATCCTGGAACTCACCAGGCCACAATTCCTTCTCAATCAAGGTAGCCTATGATCTTGCTTCTCTCCAGGATACTCAGACTGAGGAAAACAACCTCGATTACAAGTGGATCTGGAAATGCAACACCCTTAACAAGCTAAAGTACTTCATGTGGCTGCTTACCCTCAATAGACTCCCAACAGCCACCTTCCTAGCAAAACGTAATATCTGCACTTCAGATACTTGTACCATTTGTGGAACTGAAAAGGAGGACATAAAACACATACTCTTCTATTGCACCTACTCAAAGGAAATATGGAGGCAATGTCACATAAAACATAACTACCCATCCTTAGACAACGGATTAACTACCTTCCATTGGCTAAAGCACCAACTAAAATCAAACAAAAGCTTTAATCAATACATCACGTGGCCCATCTTCTTACCTTTCCTCCTTTGGTATTTATGGACCACAAGAAATAAAAGAATCTTTCACAAAAGTAGCCCATATCCCAACATTAGCAAAGTGATCAATAGCACTCAGGAATTCCTCTTCCTTAGCAATTGGAGCCCTACTAGATCACCAAAAAGAACAATACTCATAAAATGGGAACCACCAGACGTAGGAACCTACAAACTAAACATAGACGAATCATGTCTAGGTAGCCTAGGAAAGGGAGGCACGGGGGGGGTCTTCAGGAATAGCAACGGGAAATGGATACTAGGTTTTAGCAAGGGCTTTGCCAATGCAACGAATATCCAAATGGAAGCGATGTCCTTATTACAAGGTCTACAATTAGCCATCCAAAAAAGACTAATCCCTTTAGTCATTGAAACAGATTGTCAGGAACTTATTAATTTGATTAACAATGAAAAGATGCTTTATCGAAACATTATTGATGATTGCAGGTTCCTATTATCTGAGGTGGGAGTACCACCATTGAAACATGCATTCAGGGAAGCTAATGGGGTAGCGGACGCCTTAGCCAAGAATGGATGCAGTCTGGACTCTTTTGCTGATTTAAACTTGTACTATTATCCGCCGCCTGTATTTGCTATTTCAGTTTTTAATAGAGATGGGATAGGCACTGCGTGGCCTAGACAAATCTCATGTTGTAATAACTACTAAGTTTATGTTATGAATAAATGTCTCTAATTACCAAAAAAAAAACTATTGATTAAGTCAAAACATAGGGTGTGTTTGGTACGAAGAAAAATATTTTTCGGAAAATATTACCCAATTTTTCCATGCTTGGTTGGTTTAAATGTTTTAGAAAATATTTTCCTTTATGAACTTATTTTCCTCCAATTGGAAGAAAATATTTTCCCTTCAAGAGAAGGGAAAACATTTTCCAAAACTCTTTTTCAACCTTCCCCACCCTATTTCCCATCCCTGCCAACCCCCACACTCCACCTACAACCGCTAACCTACCCCGCCCCCTATCACCCCCCAACCTCACCCACACCCCACACCCGCCCTAAATAAAACGAAAATATTTATTAATAGTATTTTCCTTTTTTATGTTAATAAATAAATAATTTATATTATATAAAATTATATATATATATATTATATATATATATAATATATATATTGTAATTAAAAAATTACTGTCTTTTCATGATGTAGAAAAATTATTTTCTTTATTTCAACAAAATGAGTATTTTCATGTTGTAGAATGAGTAAAAAAAACTTCAATAAAAAAAAGAGTAATTTTTTTAGCTATGGAGCACAAATTTCAATCTTGTTTTTTCGTGAAAAAATAAAGCATCACATTAGTTCCTTTGAGTTTGTGTAAATTTTCAGAAAAATAATTAAATTGTTGAAGAAAATAGAGCCCTGAAAACGTTGGGTATTTGGGGGAGGAGCAAGGAAATATGTGGACTTGGGGGAAAGGGTGATGAGAGTACCATAAAAAAATATTTTCCTAAAAAAGTATTTTCTACTCTCTAACCAAACACTAGAAAATATTTTTCGAAAAAAGTTTTTCATTCACCAACCAAATAAGGGAAAATAAGTGATAAAATCACTCATTTTTCATGAAAATATTTTCTAGGAAAACGAAAACATTTTCCTTCATACCAAACACACCCATAATGTAATGTTCTCATTTTATCTAGTTACTCTAACAAACTTTCAGGTGGTTCATTCAAGAAAAGACTCGGTTATATGCAGACAGTGAAGTTGAGAAATCATAATTTGAAACTTGATAGTTCTTTTTACGCACCCGTTTGGTCATAGATTTTGGATATATATTCTCAAAAAGTATTTGAAAATAATATTTGTTTATGGAACATGATCATTTTTTGAAAAAATTTTGAATTTTTTTTTCAAGTTCCCAAAAACTTGTTTAGGATAGTTTTTGGGTGAATTTTTTTCTTTCACTCACAAAATTTCTGGTCTTTTTCAAATAAAATATATGTCCAAACACAATTTCAACCTCCAAAAATTATTTTTCAACATAACTTTTATTTTTTTCAAGTTTCAACTAAATGTACTTCAAGTTTCGACCAAATCTACGTTCAAACGCTAGTTGCAACTTTAATACTAGTGAACTTAATGCTAATAGCACAAAATTTTTGAACTCTGCTTTTACTATATGATATCCTTTTTTTTCTTTTAATGCAACAACAGATGAATTGAGAAAGCTTAACTTTAAAACAATGAGTAATAGACCATTAAAATTCGAGCTCCTAAGATTATAATTTTATAGTGAAGAACCCATATTGTATTGAAATGGATAATGGGAATCACATATACAATCATAAGAGTTCATCTTCAAACAATTACAAATACTTCAAACAAGTAACCAAATCTTTCAAGGGAAGAGAAATAAAAAAAAAGGAGAAGGGAGGGAGGTTGCAAATCTATCCTCTAAGAAACTAAAGAAAGTAAAATAAACCAAGTTCTTATAATGGACTATAAGAACTTATTTAATCATCATTAATGGACTATAACTGTTCACACTGTGAAAGTATTATCCTGTCAAAGTCTTGGCAAATTGATCGAAGTCGGTAGCTTCAGTAGACCCATAGATCAAAGAACAAATAGGGTGGGTAGACCTAAGTGTTTAACCAAAATCGGGATTTCGGTCAAAGCTTTATTTTAGAAGAATTCGGGTTACTGATAATCAAGTAGAAATAGGAATAATTGATGTAAATAATAGCTGAATAGAAAGCAAAGTAAATCAGTATATTTCAATAGTATTTCGTGTCTTTACAAAAATTCATTCCCCACCTTTTATACCTATTTCTAAGTAATACGTTTTTCTCCTCTCATAATGGAGTTTTTATGGACAATCAATGGCATTTAATGTAACATTATAATTGGTAATCGTAACTGATTTAGTATAGATTCTGTAACGTTTCCTGTAATTAATGCCTATTAATTTCCAATAATACGTATCTATACTCTTTTTGCTATTTAGGTTCATTCTTCTAATGCCTCTTCAGAATATCAAGAGGTTCGAGCACCTATCCCTTTTTGCTTTCTTGGATTTTTGCCCATGCCTGCTAAAGCTCGTGCCTCTTCATCTACTCTTCGCCAGTTGGCATTCCTTTATCAATCGACGTGTCACGACATGTCACCCCATAATTAATTCGATATATTAATTTAATTTTTCCCAATACACTAAGCACCTCATTACAACGAGCCACTGCAAGTTCCATATCTACTACAAAAATCCATTTAAGATAACCACAATTTTTTTCGGAACCGACTTTTTATGGTATGTTATAATATATGTCCTATATAAGAACACTTCACTATAACATCCAAAAAATATCAAAACAAACACGTCTGTTATAAAGATGTTTGACTGTAAATTAAATCTTCCTAAAAAGGATGGGAGCACCATATTGGGGCTGTAAAGTTAGACGCATAGTTGGAGCATGAACATATGAAGGTGACACTGTAAAAGAGAAATTCTGAACTATCATTGCTAGGATGATTTTGGCTTCAACCATGGCTAAGTTTTGCCCAACACAAACTCTTGGACCTAATGCAAAAGGAAAATATGAAGCCAAATGCTTTCGAGATTCATCAAATCTCATAGGGTTGAATTCCACTGCATCTTTTCCCCATATCTCAGTGTCATGATGTACAACAGCTACTGACACATAAAATTGTGTATTTGCTGGAATTTCAAGGTTTCCCAACTTAATATCCTTTGAAGTTCCTCTTGTCAATGCCACGATCGGCGGGTAAAGTCGCATTGTCTCATTGAGAATCATTGTCACCTGTTTGAATACACAAATAAAAGAACAAACATGGGAAAGGTTAGAAACTCTAAGATAATACTATTACGAGAATAGAACTTGGACTTAATTCCGTCTCAAAAGTTATCTGATGAGGTAAGGATTATCCAAGACCATTAAAAGATATAACAATTCATTTCGCAACTAATGTAGGACGCTTAACACAGACCTCGACACACTTAAGATTGGTTCTGAGAGTATAAAATGGGTCCGATATTGAATAAATCAATAATAGAGATGAGTTTGACTCTGATACTATGTTATGTTAAGAAAAATAGACTTTAGGTTTAACTCAATATAAGACTAGCCCGATGCACAAGGTATCCCGCGTTCATGCAGAGTCCGGGAAAGGATCGCACCACAAGGGGTGTGATGTAGACAACCTGCACTAATGCAAGCATTAGTGCTTCTTCCACGGCTTGAACCTGTTATCTATAGGTCACACAGATACAACTTCACCCATGACCTATAGGCCTAACTCAATATCAAAAACTAAATCATGGAGTGAGTTGCCGAGATCATATAAAGAGGCGACAACGGACACTTACAAATAGATAGAGAATACAGATAAGAGACTCTGAGAAAATTGAACTTACAATCTTGAAATCAATCAGATTCTCTGCATTTGGAAGCTTGTTGCCGTTGCAAACTCGAAAAACTTCATCTCGAGCTTTATCTTGCCATTCTTGATGCAATGCCAGAAGAAGAAGTACCCAAGTTAACAAGTTGGAAGCTGTTTCCTTCCCAGCAAAGTAAAATGTCTTGCATTCATCTATGACTTCTTCCACCCCAAATCCATGTTCTGCTTCACTTGCAGACATTAGCAAACTAAGAAGATTCTTAGAATTTTCTCTCCCTTTACTACTCTCAATCAGCTTCATTACTGACTTTCGAGTTTCCTTCTCTAGTTTCCACCTCATCATGTTATTTTTCGTGGGCAAAAACCTGTTTATTAAGATATTTCACACTCATAATTAAAAAAGGGCAGTGCGATGCACAAAGCATCATGCGTTTACGCACAGTCGGGAGAAGGGCCGCGCCTCATGGGGCAGGGCGGATCCAGCCTATTACATGTGAGTTCTTGTGAATCCAGTAGCTTTTACACATACCTTGTATATGTATTAAAAAGTCTACTAAATATCCATAAATATTTGATTGTGAACCCAATTACTTATTATATATTTACTTAAGGTCGCCATAGGAACCCATAAACTTTAAATCTTGGATCCGCCTCTACATGGGGGTGTGATGTTGGTAGCTTACCCTAATGCAAACATCAATGGCTGATTCCACACGTTGAACCCATGACGATAGGTTACACAGAGACAACTTTATCGTTGCTACAACACTTCCCTTCGCACTCATAGTTAGGAGTAAATTTTTTGTGAAGATAAACAAAGTTCAATAGAAAAGCTAATATGCACTAACCTAAATCCAGGAAGGTAGATGCTTCGTATTGCCTGCAAAGTAAGAGATATTTGTTGCTCTTGTGACTCAAATATGCGTTTCCCTTCTTCAAAACTACTCCCAAAAGCTGTCCTAGATATAACCTCAGCTGAGAGATCATTTAATTCCTTGAAGACTTCTATTTCAAATTCTTCCTTCTCTTCATTTTCTTTTTCCCATTTCTTCAACATTTTGGTAACACTAGTCACAATGTCCGGCACCCAAGCCTGGAATTCATCAAACCTAGCTTTAGTAAAAGGGACACGAATTTTGAGTATAGACAGAGTTGCTACTTTAAAGTATACTTCAAGTAGCGAGGTCGGGTTGGAGCAGTGAAAACAAACTCTTGCAGAAATGTAGGGTTAGGCTGCGTACAATAAACCTTTGTGGTCCGGTCATTCTACGGACCTCACACATAGCGGCTTAGTGCACCGGACTGTCCTTTTCCAAGTAGGGAGAAGAACAAGTTCTAGTTATACAAATTTAAAATCAATACATACTCAATGACGAATGAACGAAGAAAAGGTGTAATGTAATGGAGTGAGGAATACCTTGAATCTTATGTAAGACAACTAAATGCACCTTGACATGTCGCCGAAGAACTGAGAAACTTTAGGTAATTGAGGGATAAAGCTAGAACTTAGTGCTCTAGACAACAAAATATATGTTTGATAGTTGAAGCTTTTGATTTGTACTACTTCTATTTCAATTTATATGACGGCTAGCTATGGAGTTTAAGAGAGAAAAAAACCACATGTAAGCTAAACGTATATAACATGCCGAAAATACCTTAGAATCTTTTGGCGATAAACGTGTATATGATTAGCATTACTATAAGAAAGAGTCGTTAGAGGTAAAATATGAACATTCAAAGTAAAGAATTTTCATATAGAAATGTGGTCCTTTTCTGGAATAGATTAAAAAGATAATATATCATATAAAATAAAATGAATGAAGTAATTTGAGAATATTTGCAAAAGTTATTTTAAAAGGCTTTCGGCTGAAAACTTACTTTGAAAGGCTTTTAAGAAAAATAATAGGGATCTTTACACAAATAGCCGGCTAGTTTTATTGTTTATCTTTTCTAGTCGGTATACATAAATTATACAGTAATTATACAAATATCATATATGGAGTATACACATATTATACCTCTTTGGTTAAGCTTTTGAAGATGCCTAAATTCACTTTCGCCGCATCACATTCACCGGCTATTTTTAGTTTAAGTAATTGAGTGAGCTATTATTTAAGTTAAATCCTCACAATAATATAATACACGTGCACCCAACAAACAACAACAACAATAACAAACCTAGTATTCCTACGAATGGGGTATGGGGAGGGTAATGTGTACGCATACCTTATCCCTACCTTGTGAAGGTAGAGATGTTGTTTTCAATAAAGTATTGACTCAAGCAAGGGTGAAAAGGAAGCAACAAACAATAGCAACATGTCGTGCACACGATCGCGTTAAATAAAAATAAACGGAAAATTTATAATATATATATATATATATATATATATATATATATATATATATATATATATATATATATATATATATATATATATATATATATATATA